ATTGTGTATGTACGTATCAATGATAACGAGTATGTAGCGCGTGGCAATGAGAAACAGAGAGATCAGTTCACGCTTTACAACAATTGATTCAGCCATTCACGACTCAATAGATACAATATCTGTACAATCGAAAAGCAAGCTATCAATCGCGGTTGCGTTCACGTGATCGCTATTGATCCTGCACTATTTGTGCTTTCTGCACGGTAAAAGTCTGGAACAACAGTTTAACAACGTCAGATTAACTAAAGATAGAAACGGAGAAGAAAAGTTGTTAAACGATCAAACGAGAGACAGAGTATTTGCATGGAAGAAACAATGCATAAGAATCTGAGTCGAAATACCAATTCTGCATTAATTCTACTAATTAATATTGAACTTGAAGAATTAATGGAAAATCTCGAGATTTAACATTGTACAAGCTGTTGTTGTACTTTGATGGCTTCAATGGTTACTTATTAATGTTTTCTCCATGTTAAGTTAAAAAAAATATGTTTTTCAGAATTATTTAATAATTGATTATCTTAATATTATATTTGTAATTAATCTTTCTTCTTAATCCCTTTGCTGTCAGGCGAAAATTACATTTTCGTGCTAAAAATGTTTCGAAAAATAAAAATTTTTAGAATGGCATGACGAACACAAAATTAGGTTTTTTAGGAGCGCTAAATTTGAATCTGAAGTCAGATTTTGAAAATTTATAATGGCGGATCCAATATGGCAGACCAAAATTCGAGATTTTCTTGGAATTTTGTGAAGGTGGTAATTTATGTTTTCAGGGTTACTGGGTTTAAATATAAAGTCAGATTTGAATTCAACATTATAAAAAAGCAATATCACTTTTGTAAAATCCCAAAATTTTTTCTGTACTCTTGATCGCCATATTGGATCCGCCATTTTGAATTTCAAAAATCTGACTTTAGATTTGAATCCAGTAACCCTCAAAACATATAGATTACCACTTTCACAAAATTCCAAAAAAATCTCGAATTTTTGTCTGCCATATTGGATCCGCCATTTTTAATTTCAAAAATCTGACTTTAGTTTTGAATCCAGTAACCCTGAAAACATATAGATTACCATTTTCACAAAATTCTAAGAAAATCTCAAATTTTGGTCCGCCATATTGAATCCGCCGTTTTAAATTTTAAAAATCTGACTTCAGATTCAAATTCAGCGCCCTCAAGAACCTTCGGAAATCCACAATCAAATCCAATGAAATTGAGCATATTTTTTTTGAGATGCGCATATGTGCGTCATGGAGCACGACTTTTTTTTGAGCGTATATGCGTCATTGACAGGAAAAGGGTTAATTCCCATAAACGATCTAGAGTGATTTATTCAGTAATTCAACACTACCTAGTGAATAAATAGTTTGTTATAATATTAAAATAGTGTAATATTGTAATATTACACTAATAAGTGTAATATTGTAATATTAAAAATATATGGCATATTTTTTATGACTTAAATGAGTAACAGGAGATAACTTATAAATTATGTGCTTACGTAAAAAAAACCTGCGTTACAGAAAGTTAACTTGGCTATGCTTGTTCAAATATTTGATATTTAAGTGTTTATTTATAGAATAGGATCATTTTATTAATTACGTAAATTACTCAGAAGGATAACGGAATCAATTATGAAATATGTTTTTTCTCAAACCAATATTATTATAATGTAAATGCATATTTCAACTTGGTAATTGAAAAGAAAACATTGAAAGATTGAAAGATGTATTAATTATAAAATTCAATAAAAGAAAGTATCCAAAATTAATTAATTATAAGGTTCAATAAAAGAAAGTATCCAAAATTTAATTGCAACTTGAATATTACATTAAACAAGAAAACAAAAAGTAAAAAAATTAGAAAATCAAAACGATGAAAGATAATGTGGACTGTTATGAAAATTCAAAGAACATTAGTAAATAGTAAATAACATAATCAATAAAATACAAATATTTTTATTTTTTGCGAAAGCATCATTTATAATCACTAAACAAATTATATTTTATACATTAAAAATGTAATTCTTTATTAAAATATATAATGTAAATTTCATACAGAAAATAAATATAATAAACAGAAAAATGAAAATTATATATCATAAACATAATAAACAACAAAAAAAAAAACAAAAGAAAATTCATTGCACTTTTTATACAAGAGGTTGTTAGTTATTTATTTTTGTAATAGTCTATATTATTAGAACATTGTAACAAATAAAATTTTTCTGTATCATTAAGATCAGATATAATAAATAAACGGTAAAACATTATTAATAACTGCAATAAGAACTTTCGTTGAATATAAATATTTTGAGCTTATTTTAACGAAGCTAGAACTCGACTACTACAACGTTTAATTTTCAGGCGATGTAGAAAATTACCAGGTACAAATAGAGGTGACTACACTAGAAATGAGTGAAAAAATTCATGATATCGTGTTAGATGACCCCAAAGTGAAATTGCGTGAAGTAGCTGCGGCTGTGGGCATCTCATCTGAACATGTGTTCAATATCCTACACGAAAATTTGAGAATTATGAAATATGAGAAAGCTAACTGCAAAATGGGTGCCGCGATTGCTAACAATCGATCAAAAACATGAACGAGTTCGCACTTCTCAGCATTGTTTGGACATGTTTAGGCGCAAATCAAAGGAATTTTTGCATTTATACATAACCGTTGATGAAACATGGATCCACCATTATACACCTAAATCGAAACAACAGTCGGCACAATGGATTCCAAAGAGTGGAAGTGCTCCGAAGCGACCAAAGACGCAACAATCGGCTGGAAAGGTTCTGGCCACTGTGTTTTGGAATGCACATGGAATAATCCTCATCAATTATCCTGAAAAAGGAAGAACAATTACAGGAGAAAATTATGCATCATTGTTGGACCGATTGAATGATGAAATCAAGAAAAAACGGCCTCATTTAACGAAGAAAAAAATTCTCTTTTATCAAGACATTGCACCAGCTCACAAATCGATAAAAGCAATGGCAAAATTGAACGAATTCCTCCTACATCCACCGTATTTTCCAGATCTGGCTCCGTGTAACTTCTACCTGTTTCCAAATCTCAAAAGATGGCTCCAGGGAAAGA